AGTGGATTGGAGATCTGGTGCATCTATAACAATCAGCTTATTTCTATCCCTAAGTCTTGTTTTGGAAAATTCCACTCTCGAAATGCATACCTTGTTCTCAGAGTAAGCTCTTTCTCTCTTTACTTTCATTTCTACTTGTGGCAACTTTTAAATAGTTAGTTTGCCTAATGAGTTCTTTTCCCCTATGATGCGTTAGACGGTTTTGCGGAAGATGGAAATTCCACTGTATGACATTCACTATTGGCTTGGAAATGATGCAAATGAGGTTTTTGCTTCTTTTTTTTTTTTACTGAAACAATCATCCTCACATAATAATGGAATTTACATTGTATATGGCAACTGAAATCTGGTGTTTATTATCTGAAAGGTGGACTCAGTTTTGGCATCTGACAAGGCACTAGAGTTAGATGCAGCGCTTGGAAGCTGTACGGTGCAATACCGTGAAGTTCAAGGTCAAGAGACAGAGAAGTTCCTTTCATACTTCAAACCTTGTATTATACCTGTTGAAGGGAACTACTCGCCACAAACTGGATTGGTTGGTGAGACATACCATGTCACCTTGCTAATGTGCAAAGGAGACCATGTTGTCCGTGTTAAAGAGGTAAGGCCTGTTTGGGTAGGAACCTTTCAGGGCACTGTCTGGTGTTAAATTGTTTCTATGTCATCTACTATTATGAGGCTTGACATGTTTATGCCTGGATAAAGTTGCATGCTTGAAAAGATATGATTCCTTATAAGTTATTTCAAATCTAGTGCTTTGATATATTCATTCATGGTTATTTTATTGTACATTTTTCACTCTTGAGATTGATTGAGTTCCCTTGATTTCAATCTACATGACAAGGTGCCTTTTCTTCGGTCATCACTGAACCATGATGATGTGTTCATTCTCGATACTGCATCAAAAGTTTTTCTCTTCGCCGGTTGCAACTCAAGCACTCAGGAGAAAGCTAAAGCTCTGGAGGTTGTGGAATATATAAAGGATAACAAGCATGACGGTAGATGTGAGATGGCGACTATCGGTTAGATTTTCTCCTTTTCAACTCCTATTTAGACTAAAAGAGAGGTAAAAAAGCAACATCTAATCATTTCTTGTTTCCTGTAGAGGATGGAAAATTTTCAGGTGATTCAGATGCTGGTGAATTCTGGTCTTTCTTTGGTGGTTATGCTCCCATTCCCAAGTTTTCATCTTCTACTGCCCAAGAACAGACTCTAACTACGTCTGCAGAAATGTTCTGGTGATATTTTAGTTTTATACACTCACAAATGTCTTTGTTCCTTTTCAAAATAGCACTAATACCCGAAATTCCTGTGCTCTGAGGAGCTGTTGTTATAGACAGACCATCAATAATCATCTAAAGATCTTTCATCAACAGGATAGATATTCGGGGAAATCTACATCCAACTGGAACAAGTTCTTTGAACAAAGATATGCTTGAAACGAACAAATGCTACATGCTGGATTGTGTCAGTGAAGTATTTGTTTGGATGGGAAGAAAAACATCACTCACAGAAAGAAAGACATCAATTTCAGCCTCAGAAGTAAGTATTTGTTGGTAACATAAAATGAGGAAACCAAATGTAGAAGTTTCTGGCAGGATTAGTAATCGCACTGTTGCACATGACTTTGGAGCCTTAATCTGTCGTTTGACTTTTGTTTGTCTTAGTTTCTGAGACAGCTTCTGAGAGGCCATCTCTAATATATGATTTGGTATGTTCTGTGCTCTAGGAATTTCTACGAAAGGAGGGACGCTTGACTAGCACAAGTCTAGTACTTCTAACGGAAGGATTAGAAAATGCTAGATTCAGATCATTTTTTGATAAATGGCCTCAGACTGCAGAGTCTAGCTATTACAATGAATGTCGAGAAAAAATGGCAGGTCTGCTCCATATTGCTCTAGTTCTGTAAAGAGGACAAAAAAGTTGTACCGGAAAACTACAGATGTCAGATACTAACTAAAACTCTACACACTTTTATGCAGCAATGTTCAAACAGAAGGGATATGATGTTGAGGAGCTTCCTGATGAAGAAGATGAACCTCCCTATACAAACGGCCGAGGCAAACTAAAAGTAGTTCATATATAATACAAGTGACTAAAGTGTCACATTTCTGAGCATAAGCTTGATCAATGGGATTAGTAATTAATTTCAGGTTTGGCGTGTAGATGGTGATGAGCTCTCTCTTCTTTCCATTCCTGACCAGACAAAGCTATTCAGCGGTGATTGCTATATCGTGAAGTATACATATTCTTACAATGAAAGAACCGAAAATCTATTTTACGTATGGATAGGTTCTGAAAGCATGCAGGTACGCAGGCTGTAGCCTTTTGCCTGTTGTTTCTTTTCATTTCTTTTACTGTCAATCATTTGTGAGTTGTTACTCGATGAACTTGTCTTTTCAGTCTTCTGTTTTTTCATTTCATTGCAGCAAGATAGAGTTGATGCCGTTTCCAATGCTAGTGCCATTGTTGCTTCAACCAAGGGTGAATCTGTAATGGTTAGTTCCTAGCCAGGTCGCAAAAATACATAACAGGAACTCTCTGTTTTTTTTCATTCTAGTTTCAACACTGTAGACAAACTGACATGTTTCTTCCAACATTTTTCGTCCAGTGTCATATATATCAGGGAAATGAACCTGCTCGGTTTTTTCCAATCTTCCAGTCGCTGGTTGTTTATAAGGTGAGTTTGCAATACTTTATTGAACATTTAGAACTTTAGATTGATTGATACTTTATTCAAATTTTTGTACTTGAGGTTACAGATTGTTTTTTTTTTTTTCAGGGTGGTTTGAGTAGACGGTACAAAATGTTTCTACTAGAGAAGGCAAACAAAGATGAAATATTATCTAATGAGAACAAGGCTTCTCTTTTTCGTGTTCAAGGGACAAGCCCAAGGAACATGCAAGCAATTCAAGTTAATCTAGTAGGTTTCTTCCGTACTTTCGGCAGTTCTGAACTGTCTAAAATACATTATGGTTAAAATACATTCTGGTAATGTCTTTGGCCCTTGACTTATCATGAAGCAAACAAATATTTTCCATTGCAGGCAGCAACCTCCTTGAACTCATCCTACTGTTACATTTTACAAAATGGAGCTTCTATCTTCACTTGGATTGGGAACCTTTCATCAGACGCTGATCATGATATTCTTGACAGAATGCTTTATTTTCTTGATGTAAGTAACTTTAGATACTAAGTTCATGCCATACATGGGTTCCGGTTTATTATGGATTACGAGTAACAAGTCTCTTTCTTCATTTCCAATTGCAGACGTCTTGGCAACCGATATCCATGAGGGAAGGAAATGAACCAGACACATTTTGGGATTTGCTTGGTGGGAAGGAAGAGTACCCAAAAGAAAAGGAAATGAGAAAACAAATAGAAGAACCACATTTATTTACATGTTCTTGTAATTCAGGTAATGGTAAACATCTTTCTATTTGCTTTTTGTCATCTTACATTATTGTTTAGTTCTGCAATGGTTCAGCTATAAACACTTTGTATTCTGCCTAACGTACGAATGGTCCATGACTGGTATGGCTCTTCTGTTCAGATGTACTCAAGGTACAGTTTCAAGTGTGTGTATTAATGATATCTTTGAAGTGATTACAGATCACATCTCTCGGAATACTCTTATATGAAACTCATTCTCTGCATGGTTTGCAGGTGAAAGAGATATACAATTTTGTGCAAGACGATTTAACTACTGAAGATGTATTACTGTTAAATTGCGAAACTGAAGTATATGTTTGGATTGGATTACACTCTAACATAAAGTCGAAGCAACAAGCTCTAACTCTTGGTCTGGTAATTATCTTCTTTATTTGTCCTTCCAAGTGCTATTTTGCTGATATATAGTTTGAATGGGATCAAAACGTCACATGCTAGGCTTATTTCATTATCTTGTGCTACTCTTTTTTGTCTGCATAAACCATGACTTCAAATAGATAATTAAATCTAGCTGCATAAACCTTTATTTAAGAATGGCAAACTTGGTGTTATCGAAAACGCCTTCCTTTTTCAGTGTTTCTTAGTCCATTCTACTTGTGAGATTGCAGAAGTTCCTAGAGATGGATATTCTGGAAGAAGGTTTAACGGTGAGGACTCCTGTATATGTTGTCACAGAAGGCCACGAGCCACCATTTTTCATCCGTTTCTTTGAGTGGGTTCCTGGAAAGGCAAACGTAAGGCATCTCTTTCCATCTTGGAGTCACCTCAAACAGAACATTGGGAGATTCTGAATTTCAAATTTTGGGTTCTTTGTGGACTTTCACTTATATTAAGCATGGAACATTACAGATGCATGGTAATTCATTTGAAAGGAAACTCGCTAGTCTGAAAGAAAAAACGACAGGCAATAAGGTAAGTCAAAGTCACAAGAACTTAGTTACTTGAGACGTGTTTAGAAGAATGGCTTACAAATTACAAGCCAATGATGCACCTCCTTTCCTTTAAAATTAGCTCTGAAGAGTGAATTCACCTATGATCAATGTGCTTTTTAAGTAGCTAGAACATTTTATCTTCCAGGGATCTAGTGGAAGTCCGTGGAGATCACATTCAAAGGATAACTCATCACGTGATATACGAAGTCGATCTGTGAACTCAAACGGATCAGAGCGAGGAGTATCACCTTGCTCCAGCGAAAAGATATCAAGTTTGAGCTCTAGAGAAGACAGCAGCAACTCGACTCCAGTTGTCAAAAAGCTTTTCTCAAAATCTCTTTCAGAGAATGCTAGTGATGGTAAGGTTTCATATGTCAACCTTTTCATTAACGTAACAATATCCACAGTATAAGCTCCGTAATGAATGCAGCGCGCGGCAACAACAAAATATATCAATCTTCTTAACTATTGGATTCCTCAATGTTATAATTTCAACTATGCTCATCGATGCTCGAAATCTCATATCAAAACACTGATTTCCGATGCAGGATCTGTAGGAGAAGAGTTGAGCTCCAGTTCAGACAAAGAGAATCAACTCGGACGAATCAATCTCGATCTTAGCCTAGAGTCACTTACATATTCGTACGAACAGCTCAGAGTTGATTCTCAGGAGCCAGTGACAGATATAGATGCAACAAGAAGAGAGGTAATCCTGCAATTCCATATAGAAAATTAGTTGTATAACACATGAACTTTGATGCAATCTTTGTCTTTCAGACGTACTTAACCGAGAAAGAGTTCGAAGAAAGATTCAAAATGGGAAAACTTGAGTTCTATGCACTTCCAAAATGGAAACAGAACAAACTTAAAATGTCTCTCCATCTTTTCTAAAAGCTTCATATACAGTAAGATCTTTGGAGCAAGCTAACTTTTATAAAGATTTTACCAACTGTAACAACTGTTATGTTTCTGTTCATTGCAATGACCTTCTGAAATAAGTAGATACTTGTGTGTTGCAGATCAGAACACCAAACAAAGACACCTCTAATTACTATTGAGTAAATTTGAACTAATTATGAATCTCCTTAATCGATTTACTTAGTAAGTATTTGAACTTATATGGTTGGAGAAAAATGTTATACACAGCCAAACGGTGTCGTATTGGGGTCTGCATGAACAGTGCTCAGAAAATTTATTATTTTAAGKAAAAAAAAAAAAAAAGCTTGTAGAATCTCTTTTACTTCTTCTGGTCCTTTAAGCTTCATCATCGAAATTGACCTGCGAAAACTGAAATCTTTGGGTATCCAAAAATCAAAAATGGATCGAAACCAAAGACCCAGAAGCATTCTGGAGTCATTAGGGGAAGAACTCATCGCAATACTCACGCCTGTCTCGATTTGTATGTTCACGGTCGTTCTTCTGGTCTGTGTCCTAAACTCTGACCCT